ATGTGGAAAGGCACTTCAGGCAGGCAAAATTGTTTGTTTGCCCTGTGTTGTACTTACATTTAGGAGGAATTTATTTTTGTAACGTGTTGTGGCATGATGGATATCTGTCATTGAAGTCATGTGTGGAACTCCAAGGTTGAGGGCTGTGTACAGATATGTGAACAGCACTTGGCACCACTGGGATGCAAAGATTAGAGTTCACAAAAATAAAACTAAGACAAAATATTTTGTAAAAGGAGTTTTTTGGGAGGTGGTTTGGTTTTATTTGTGTGACAAAAGCAGTTGCTTAAGATTCTCCTGTAAACTGAGATATTCTGATTAATTCTTGATGCTTTCGTGCTCACTTCAGGGAGATGAAGTGCAATTCATTAGCAAGGTGCTTGGGTCAGCCCCAGTGATCCTCATAGCCAGAGCAAAACAAGGGGCAGCTAAGGAAAGAAAGCAGACAAATGGATTAGTTTTAAATGTGCTGTGCTGCCCAGCAAGACTTAAAATCGTTAGCCGTGCGTATGAATATTTATATATGAACCAGAAAGCAACGAGCTAATTTCCTACTTTCCTCTTTATAATGAGAGCCTGAACTGTTCACAGCAGTATTTTAGAGATTTGTTATTACTAACCTCTTCCTCTGCCCAGTCAGGGTTTTATTCTCTTACTTTAGAAACAAAAATGTGTTTGTAAGCAGTGCAAGTCACATTTGCAAATAAAAAAAAGAAGAAGAAGAAGCTGTATCTAAGTATTAGAAAGTTTAATTGGTTTAGATTTAAGAAGGTCCCTGAAAATAATGTCACTTCAAAAACCCAGTTTTAGGCTGAAATGAAGTTTTGGGAGATAGTTTACTATTGTAAAAAACCAGATTTTTCACTTATTTTTAATTATTTTAATTACTATTTGCATACAGATTTTTTTGGTTTTATATGGTGGGACAGGTATATGGAAAATTCCTCCCAAAGCACTTTCAAGAAGATGTCATAATCTGAAATTTTGTGGTGTTATTTCTCCTTTGTCTTCCTCCCAGAATTTACATTGAAGGCTGAATTACATTTTTAATTATTTCCTTAGAAGTGATCTTGGTAAAACCTAATTCTTAGGAAATTTACAAACACAAACTGATTTTTCTTGATATCCAAGTAGAATAGTTGAGGAGGAACTTATTTTTATGCCAAAACATTTTAGAAAAGATACCTGATAAGTGTTTGCAGGCTGTAGCCTAGGGTAGAAGAGATGAGCTATTGGTGGTACAGGAGATCTGGTAATAAGGAGAGGCATTTCAGTGTGGTCTTCATATATAAGACAACCTAAAAAGCTGGTGCCTGTCCAGGAGGGGTCTTGGGAGGAGCTGTTTTGCTATTTTGTTGACTGGATGAAAACACAGTTTAAGAATTTATTGAGAAATGTCTCTGAATATCTTGTTTTCACTTTGCTCATGGGCCAGGACTGTGTGTGTATGTGAATTTAGAAAACTCAGTCCCAGAAATGAAAAATGCTCTTTACAGACAGTAAATAATTCCTGCTGAAATGTGTAATTCTAAAAGGTGACTGCTATTTTCTTTGAAATAATCTGATTCAAAGATTAAGAAAATTGAATCTGATTTCCTTGATGCACAAAAATATGTATAAATATTTGAATATATATGTCTTTGGTTAAAACCTTTGGTTATGTCTTTCCTCTACTGTGCAGTGCTGTGGCCTCACCTTGAGTCCTATGTGCAGTTTTGGGGACTGCAATGTAAAAAATATACTAAGGCATTAGAGAGTGTCCAAAGGAGAACGTCAAGGATGGTGAAGGCCTTGAGGAGAAGCCATATGAGGAGTGGCTGAGGTCACTTGGTCTGTTCAGCCTGGAGAAGACTGAGGGGAGACCTCAGTGCAGTTACAGCTTCCTCATGAGGGGCACAGGAGGGGCAGGCACTGATCTCACTCTGTGGTGACAGTGACAGGATGCAAGGGAATGGCCTGATGCTGTGTCAGGAGATATTTGGGTTCAGTATCAGGAGAATGTTCCTCACCAGAGGGTGATTGGGCACTGCAACAGCTCCCCAGGGAAGTGGTCACAGCACCAGCCTGACAGAGCTCAAGAAGTGTTTAGACAATGCTGTCAGGTTCATGGTGTGACTCTTGGGATGTCCTGTGCTGGTCCAGGAGGTGGGCTTGATGATCCTTGTGGGTCCCTTCCAACTCAGCATATTCTATGTTTCGTTGTTAACTTTTAAAATGTAAATTAATATTGAATCTTTGCAAAAAAAAAAAAATATCTTACCGTTTAACAAGCTTGTAGGGAAAGGATTCTGCATTTCCTCTTCAACAAGTTATAACAAAAATCAATTATTCTTAACAATGTGAGTTCTTTGTAAACATAAATCATTAAAACAGAAGCACACAGACACTCTTTAATGGCGCATTTCAAAAGTGATTTTGCCATAACTTTCCTATTCTTTTCTTTTGTTGTATGAATAGTCGTGCAAGTTGAATAGGAACTTCAAGGAGGAATTCTGTATTTGATTTATGTGCTGTAATTTAGTGCAACGCTTTTTGTTCTATTTATATTGTGGTTTTCATGATAAATCACCTTGAAATGCCTGAACCTAGTAATGATGATTAAACTTATTTATTTTTTTTTCCAAAAAACTGTTGAGACAGCACTCTTTGTCTCAGTTTAGACGATTGAGTGTATGAGCAGTACTTTGCAGACTGTGGATGCTGTGATGCTGTGAATTTTCAGTTGGAGAGTCAGAATCTTGTTGTATCCCAAGCGAAGGAGATAATGTGCCAGAGAGAAGAATGAATCATGTAAAAAGCCTGGAGAGAGAGCTGTAGTCAAGAAACAGATTTTGAAAATGAATCTTGAATGATGGATTGTTGAAAGAAAAGAAGTTTGAGTTCTAGGGTTCACTATGCTGTCAGAGAATACAATGTGTTTTTTAGTCCAAGGGATGGACAATAAAGGCTGCATGCTTTCAGTAGGGAGTTTCTCAGCTGTGATCCCTGTTCATAATTTCTAACCACAAAATGGGAACTAATTTCATGGGTCCATAATTTCTATTTTTTTGAGGTCAAAGCAGAGCTACTCTAAATGATGTACCCAGAGTATCCAAAGTGTATTATTTTCTATGGATATAAATGCAGACATTCAGAGCTGTATACATTTAATGTCATTGAGAAAGGATAAGCAATTATGAATTTTTTACCAAAGCTACAGTGGATAATATACCACAGAAGTAATATTTGAATCACAGGATACTTCAGGTCAGGAAGGATCATCTACTCCACATCCTTGTTTAAAGTGGGCCCAGCCTCAAGGACAAAGTGTAAGAAATGGATGCATACCTTAAAGAATTTATTTTTTCTAAATTGTTCTTTAAGAAAAAAAAAAAAAAAAGAGCGACAAACAAACCTGAAGGTTGTTAAGTCCTGAGATTTAGTTTCTATGATAGAATAAAATGTAGAGTGCTCTGTGGTCAGGGAACTCAGCATTGGTTTTAATGACAAGTGTCCATTGTGCTACTTACTGTTGTGAAGATAAAGTAGAAAGAGAAATAATTCAGGATATTTATGTTTGCAGTCCAAAAAAATGTGATGGCACTGAGGGATGGAATAAAAACATAAGCCATCTAAAGTCTGGAGGAAGTAAGATACATAGGTATATGAAGCATGTAGTTTTAAAACTATTTTTTCATATGGATGTGCTTACTGGGGTTGAGAGCAAAGTGGCTTTTTTACTACAAAAATGACAAATAAAAGTGGAGGTTTTGTTCTAGATGTTTGCTGATGTGTTGCCTGATATTTCTTTTTGGTCATTTTTGCCAATACAAAACAGTTCTGTGCCACAAAGTCTTGGGGAAGTACTAATTTGTAGACTAGACACACATTAATTGAGGAGGAAATTGAGTCTTTGGTAGCTGGCACCTTCTGTATTTTTGTGTAGTTTAATTGAGGAGAGATGGGTCATAGTCAAGTTGAAAGCCTCTTGTGGACATGTGTGCATGTATGTGTTTGCATGATGCATGAATTACAAATAAAGCTGCAGAAGCAAAAGCTCTGCTTTGGGTTTTGTCACCCTGTTCCTCCAAGCAGGTTATCTGACAGACTTAGGCACATGATACCTAGTTCAGCTCCTTCTGGGTAAAAATCAGGCTTGATGAGTGATGTGAATGTTTCACTTGAGTGTTTGAACCTACATCCTCAAGTGCTGAGAAAAATATTTTCATGATTCTCTTAAGATACATGGATTTACTAAGAGGATGAGCCCCGTTTCTGAAATGTCTTACCTTTTCAGTGTAAATGAAGCTGAATCAATTGCCAGGGAAGTGTAAATACTGAAGAAATTTTTTAACCCCTTCTCCACTCCCCACTCCCTCCTTTGGGTTGCTAAAAAAAACCCCCACAACAACCATGTGCTGTGGAAATGTAGCTCTTTGCTATACACTTTATTCATGCACTTCAGCCTGCGCTGTTGGTTTGTGTGTGTGTTGTTTGCAGGAGTGAGAGGGGATGGAGGAGTAGATGTTGAACTGAACTGCATCTCTGCATGATCACAATTTGTTTTTCTCAGAACATATCTGTCCATGAAATCATCTAGTACTGCTAATTTGCCTAAAGAATAAATTCTACTTTTTTTTCAAGCAGGCATATGTTCAATGTAACTGGGAAATTCTTGTCATTGAACATTTGTTTTCATACAGAAGTGCCAGTTTTCATGAGAAGCTCTGATGATTCCTTAAGCTTTGACTCAAAATTTTTTTTCTGAAAAACTGCAAAATAAACCAACAATAATAAAATGCTAGCAATAATTTCTTACAGAACTTTTTAAAAACTTCTATTCATGTAATTTGCAAGACTATTGTGATGGTTTATTTCTTGAACTGTCTTCCATTGTGCAGTCAGTAGCCAAACTGAAGAAAAATAGAGGAAGAGAGCCTCTGTGCAGTCACAATCACAGAAAATATTAGGTAAAATCCAAATTACATAAAATGTTTTCATATTTTAATTTTGTTTTCCAGAATGAAAAATCCCCAGGGCGTTCCACAAGTCGATCAAGTAATATTTCAAAGGTATGTGAATTCTATTTTCTTTTTCTGGAATTTAAAGAAAACTAGGTAATTAAATATAAAACAGTACTTTAATCCATTATATTCATTATGTAGTATTTTATTTATTCATAGGAATCAGATTTTAAGTTTTGCTGCTGAACATTATGGTTATCCTGTAAACCCCATCATACTATTAGTCATTACTGTAAAACATGTAATAACAATACTAAGCAAATAAATTAATGCACTTTTTTTTCACTTCTTTTCCCCAAGTGTTTAATGTTACCTTAGCACTTCAGCTTAAAATAAAATTACTGTTTTCTTTTTCTCCTCCTGCCCTACCCAAATAATAACAGGTGTAATATGCAAAGCTATAAATCTGTGTTCGTTTCAGGCTGAATTCTGAATTCCTTTTACAGGGATATATGGTTCGCTGAAGCCAGGACTTTACATCTAGATAATTTTTGCTTTTTAGGAAAGAGAAGGGAAACTTTAGGAAAGGCAAAATGTGATTTTTACTGAAGTTCTTTGGTTTTAACCCCGTTTTCTATGTATTCTTGGTTCAGATGTGGCTGAAATTTATGCCAAAATGCCGGGATGTACAGGAGGCAAAAGATAAAACTAATTTTTTTTTTTTAATACAGGCCTAAACATCTGCCATGTATTATGTTTGGTTTTAAATATTTTGCATTTAGGGCAAGCACTGTATCCTTAAACCTCTTCACAGAGTATTTTTGTCTTTGGGGTGCCCACTGCAAAACTTTTTTCTTCTCAGAGCATAAAACAAAAAAAATTACAGCAAACCCCAACTGTGATTTTAAGTTAAAATGCTAGTTCCATGTGAGGTTCAGCTCTCTTACATTTAGAAGGGAAAAAGAAGTAGAATATATCCAGCCTGCTGTAGGATACGGCTGAAACTCCTCTGGGTTAACTGCCTATCCTTAGAAATCATATAGATATATAGTTACAAACTCTATCACTGGGAATTGTATTAATTATTTTAATTGCTATTTTTAAATGCGTGTATCTAGCAGTAGTTACTGTAAATCTATTATGAATTGATATTACTTTCTCTGCTTTTTTTTGAAGACAGGTGCATAGGTTGCACTGTGACAAAGCATAAATATATTCACTGATATGAGAAACATGCCAGTGACCAACATGTATTTTGAAGGGATTTGTGCAGAAATCAGTATAGTTGCTTATTAGAAAGTGATATTTGCTCTGGTTTTAGTTGCAAGTTAAACTCACAGTTTTTCAGTCATGCACCTTATCTTTTTCTGAAGTATAGCATCATGCATTGTTTTGAATCAATTTTTTTTCTGAAGCTACCTGCCAGTAAAGTTTTTCCAATGCTGAAAGCCATTTGGTTGGAATTCCAGTTTTGTTTGTTGTCTGACTTAAAATGCTTTTTTTCTAAAACAGGTTTTCATATAGGTGTGTATACATAGAAAAGGAAACACCTGATTTTGGAGGTTAATATTGCAAGGCAGAAAGTGATAGTAAAAAATACTCCACCTCAAAACAAGGATGAAAGCTCCTAGGCCAGACAAACTGCATGCCAAAGGCAAGAATCTGAGTTCTGCGCAATGTCAGATCTTGCACACAACAAAAATTTCAATGGGCAGAAAAATTAGATAGTCTTTATGTAAAGATATAAATTAGTGTCATCAAAACACTGTCTTTGACTGTTTTCATTTGCCTGTATGTGTAAGTTAAAAAGGATCAAATGGAATTATATTTTAATTTGTGTATTCCACCCTTAGCTGGATGTAGAGCTCCTCCCCCAGAGCAGATACCACTGGATTTTGTACTAACCTATTTGTGAAATGAAATACAGCATAGATTCTGTAATGCAGATTCATCTTTCATAATGCTCTTAAATTGTTTATTTGGAGAGGACACCTGAGGTTTGCCGTGTATGCTTGCGCAATTTTGCATGCTAGGTACATGAATTTTAAGTCTGAATTTTGTGGTATTACAGATTAAACTGAATTGTTGAACACTGAAGATGTCTTATCTAGTTATAATGAGAAGGAATGGTTTTGATTTGGTATTTTACAGATACTGGTTAGTATATATCTATTCAGTCAAGAGATTTTACAGTCAAACATTCCCAAGATGGGTGGATGTGTGTGTGTGTGGAAATCAACCTCAATTTTACCATTCACTTTTGCAGTCTGCTGAGACCGTAGAAGTTTAGCATGCTGCAAGGACTTTTCTTATTGCATGTAATTTTCTGGCAAGGATTTCAGTGACAGACTATTTAAGGCAAATGAAAGAACAAAACTTAAAATATTTCACTAACAGCTGTGGCTCTCTTCAGTGAAGAGCAGCTGTTTATTTATTTATATCAAGAAAACTGCCTTGAAACTCCAAAAGCAACTGCTTCTGATAGTTTCCCAATCAGAGACAATTAGGAAAATGTATCAGTGCCTAATTTTTCCTGCACTTCTGGTAATAACCTAGATTTTTCTTGTGCAATCAATAAATAAATAAACAATCTTTTTGTGTTCTGCCCTGCTAGCACTTAATTAGATATGATTAATAATTTAATAACTAGATTATTAACTCATATTTTGAATTTTCTGTATTTCACATTATCTTGTATTGACAAAGTAGCCCAAGTTAGCAGTTATGGCTTTCAAAACCTGTCTACATAAAGAAAACTATACACATAAAGAAAAATATTAAACACTTGGAAAAGTGAGTTATGAGCCAGCTGCCATGATTTTAAATTATTACTATATTTTTAAGTATTAGACTTTTTTCCCACCTATTTCTTCTGTTGCTGGCAGCAGAAGGAACTTAATTATTCTTTGTAAGAGATAGTATTGTGCAGTTTTCTGGATTGCTGTTATCCTATCTGCATGTGTTTAAAATTTAAGTAAATTAAAAACTTGACCTTGATCATTACCTATTTGCCATTGCTTAGTTTTCTGTGCACTGTAACTTCTTTCATTAAAATTCTTATGTCTTCCTAAATAGATGTATAATTTAAGAGGAAGGGTAGTCAGAGAAGAATCTGGTGGATTCATTGTTTTCTGTTGTGGTTAGCCAGTGGAACAAATTTTGTGTCTGAGTTATAGTCTGTAGCCTTTATGCTCTATATGTATTTCTGAGGCTGCCTGGTTATGTTAAAATGCTTTCTGGAAGAAATGTTTCTAAAACACTGTAATTATCTTTCTGTATGTTAATTATGATTCGAGAGCTCATTAGAGAAGGATAGTATCTCAGCAGCAAAATCTAAAATTCTCTGATGGGAACCTTGGGCTTATTTTTCAGTGCAGAGAAAATCAGGCTTGGAGCAAATTGCCTGAATTTTGATTTGCCTCAATTACTTCTCAAAAGCCTGGAGCAGGTGTTAGAACACTTTTTATTTACAAGTCTCTGAAGCTTCCATCTAATAAAACTCTGTCGAGTTACATCAGGAAGTAAGGTGTTTGTTTTGGAATATTCTGTGTGATAATATTCACATGTCTAATTTAGAATATGAATAGTAATAGGGGAAAGAAAGAAGAAAATAATTGTTTTTACTCTATGTTAGCAATTTCTGATTTCTTTTGTCGGGTGAGGTTCCTCTCAATAAGATACAAATGAAAACCAAAAGGCCCCAGGATGCTAATCTAGATGAAAAATTTATTGTTTCTAATGTATTGATTGTTGATTTGAATCACTCAGTTTGTGACTTTGAAAGAAAATTCACAAACTGGGCATCAAATTCTGTACTATTTATAATATTTATAATAATAGCAGTAATAGTATAATAATAGTAAGTAATACAATATTTATAATAGTTATAAATTGCCATTTAATCTCTTCCATTAAAATTGAATAATCTTTTAAATGGGTGTTGATATTCTCAACTATTTCATCCTCTCTGTGTATGAGGTGATTGTATGAAGAGACCTATGTTGCAATTTGGATGGTTTACCTAGCTTGAAGCAGAACTCACTATTACACACTGTAAGTGTTTGTAGTGGCCAAACATCACCATGTCTAAGGCAGTGACACCAACAGAGAGCACATAATATCTCTTGGTAGGTTTCATGGTGAAAAAAAAACATAAAGGAACTTAAATGTTCTTTTGAAAGAAGTTCTTACCATGGACTTTGTTTGCCAGAACTAGGATTGCAGCATTTCCAAGATAATCTGTTTCATGACTGAATCCTAAAGACCACTTGTGTGACGCCTTATGCTTTGCTACAGGCAGCTACAATGCTCCAAGTTGATCCATAGGTCTTACTGCTCTTGCCAATTTCATGCTAATCACAAGTGAAAATTCTCTTCCAGATTGGTGACTGCTTTATTTCAAGGAACCACAAAGCTCCATCCCTTCCAAGTGTACGTTCTAGATTACTGTAGTGAGTAGCTGAGGGAAAAATTAGGGCTTTCAAAAAAGAAAACAAATCAAGAAAAAAGTCCTCGCTCTTGTAAAGCATAAAATGTCAGCCTTCATAAGTGCTTTTACAGTAGATAATATGATGTATACAAAACTGGCATTAAAATGTGAGTATAAGTGTTACATTAGTCATCAAGTCATTCTTCTTGTTCATAAACAGGATCATTTTTATGAAAGCTGAAGACTAACCTAGCACTTAGCTCTCATTTATTGAAAACAACAGTGCAAAGTAAACAAGTTAGTGAAAAGATTTTCTTTATCAGAACAGAATTCATTTTGAACACAAAAAAAAAGGTAGAAAACCAAAGACTAGAAGTAGATCCATTGCATAGTAGCTGTTTATGTTCTTGTTAAAACTCCTAGAAATGAATGCTTGATTTCTATGTATAGAGAATGCTTTGTGGTTTGTCCGTACAATTTATTCTTTGTTTACAATAAGCTTAACAAAAGGCATGGCAGCAGAATTTACCTGAGTCTGCCTGAAAATTGAACTGAATGAAATTGCATGCCTGTATGATGGTATTAAATACATGGGGACAACCAACAGAAAATAGTTCACATCTTGACACATCCAGATATAACTGCAAATATGTGTGGAATGTGTTGTGCCACAGTTTTT